GGTGGCCCAGAATTTCGGACTTCTTTGAACATCTCCGAGAAGTGGACTATCCCTACCTTCCAAAAGCCAAGGGTGAAAGTCGGAGCCTGGATTTTCCCATGGCTCCAGGTGAGTCAGCAACAGCACCAGGATCAGAGCCCAGACTCCGCCTCCCCGCCAGCTGCTGGCTCCCTCACTTCACAGCCACTCACCTCTGTCTCTGTGTCTTGGCTTCAGGCCTCAAACTAGACAGGTGGTGGGCAAAGTCAGTCTGCACATGCTCTGGACATCCTCCTCAAAGTACTATCAATAATGGGAGAAGTCTTGCTCCCAATGAGAAACTCACATAGAATCCATAAAATCACGTGTGCTCCTCTTCCTTCCCATCAGAGTCAGGGAGGAACCTCAGAGCTCCCATTGTTGAGGCCAGCACAGAAATGATGCAGCAGGGATAAGTGCCCTAAGAAAGACAATGCATGTGTGTGGTCCTGTTTCATTCAATCGTTTGCCCCCAGTCAAGAGTAATTTCCACCTATCTGTTCTGTAGCAGAGCGCGAGAATGCAGTGGGACCTTGGGGACAAGTGAGATGGGCCCTACCCTTTGGGGCAACCAAGTACTGCACAAGGATGTCTGAGCAACATGGTGAGAGCTAGAAGGAGGAGAGAGGTGCAGGATGTCTTGAGAAGGGGGAACTAGGTCTTGGCTTCCACTGAGGAGTCTGGAGAGGCCTCTGATCAGAGGATGCATCAGCATAGGCCTGAAGGCAGTAGAGGCTGGCCCTGAGAGGAGCATGGAGAGGGAGTTGTAAGCAGAGGAAGTGGTGAGTGTGAAGGCCCTGAGGTGGGAAAGCAGCTGGTACCTTTGAGGCCCTGGCAGAGGCCAGGCTTCTGTGACACTCCAGGAAAGGCCTGGGGGAGGCCTGGCGCCCAGAGTGGTGTGGCTGCCTCTTCAGCCCTGCTTCATGCCTGAACTCTCTCTTTGGCTGCTAGCCACTAGCAGGCCCTTCAGACTCTGCCCCATGGCTGCCCTATTTAAGGGCCAGCTGACTGAGCACTGACATCCATCAGGCCCAGACCAGGCTCTGCAGGCCCAGGGGAGAAGGCAGTGCCTGTTTTCCATGGGCTCACCATCTGTGGTAAAGATCCTCCCCTTACTCCCCTGCTCCTTTCTGCTTCTGGAAGCCTGCCTTGGCCTGGCTTTCCTCCCCCTTCTCTAGCTGTTCTCCTCTTGTTCCTTGACACCTCTGCTCCTACCCATCCTTAGATTCCAGTCCCTTGGGGCCTCACCTGTCCACACTCCTATCTTTCAACTCCAACCCTCCACCTTGCTTCTGAGTTCATGACTATTTCTCTACTCAACACCTCCACCTGGATGGCCCCATGAGTGCTGCAGCAGCAATATGGACATGCCTAGAATACTCCAGAAACACAGTTGAGAGCTAACAGATCCCATGTGGAGTGGGGTGATGAGTGCTCCAAGGAAGACCTGTCAGGGGAAGGTGACAGCTAAGTTGACTCTCAAAGAAGTAAGGTGCAGGGGCAGCCAGGGGTGAAGGGGCAAGGGATGTTCCCCACAAGCACGGGCACAGTCACTCACATGCATTCAAAGAATATAGGATATGGGGGAGCACTGCCCGGTGGGGCTCAGGCTTAGGGGGAGGGCTGGGTGGTGAGTGAGGAGTGGAAAGGCCACCAGACCTGGGTCTTACAGAACTTCACATCCCATCCTGAAGAACTGGCATTTACGCACAAGGGCACCGAGAGTCATTAGAGCTCACTAAATAGAGCAGATTCAAGGTTTCAGAGGTTCAATGTGGCAGCAGGTGGACGCAGACACAGGACAGAGGCAGAGAGACCCAAGGGCCTCTGTCTACTGTGATCCCAGCAGAAGTGGCCCAGGGTTGGACTGAGCCGTGTAAGGAGACATCAGTGAGGGCTGAATGTTAGAGACATGGAGGAGATGGAGCCTTGAGACTTTATGGTAGGAGGAAGGCTTGGGGGGAAGGAATTGAGGATGGCATCCAAAGTTCCAGTGAAACCGGCTGACTGGGTCTAGGCTGAAAGAGAAAAACAGAGTTCCTCAAGGAATGTGCTAAGTTAGAGATGACATGGGGCCTTCCAGTGGGAGTTGTTGAGTCAAGAAAAGGTCCTGGGCTCAGAAATGAGGTGGGAGGTTGGAGGTGAGAGGTGGGGGTGTGGATGGGTGAGGGCTTGAGGGACCCACACCTGAGGATGGGCAGGAAGGCTTCAGGGAATGGGAAGTGAGCAGCTAGAGAAGAGGAAGGAACGCTAAGTGAAGGCAGGCTTCCAGAAGCTGAGGAGAGCAGGGAGAGAGGGCAGGGCCTTCACCATCGCAGGTCAGCTACCAGTAGCTGGCCTAGGCTTTTGCTGCCCAGGTGTAACAGGTGGGCACTGGGAGGGGACTGTGGGTTTGGCTGAGAAAGTGCTTTGGAGGTGGGAGCTGTGGGGCTGCATAGACTCAGGGTGCCAGCAGGAGACTCCTGGTTCACGGAGTCTGGACCTGAACACCCGAATGCTTCCTGGAACACAGTAGACTCTCCAAAGCTCTCACAGCTACCTCCGTGTAGCATCTCAAACAGATTGCTTCCTCTCTAGCAGAGACTTTTCTCAAAGCAGGAAGGGGCACAGACTCTGTGCCCAGGAAATTTTTGTTACCTGTAAGGCAAAACAAAAATGGGAAATGGGTCCTTAGTTATCAAATGCTGCCAGCATTTCCCATCTGCACGCCCCATTGCAGTGGAAGGTGTAAGGTCAACGAAACCAGACCAGGCGAAACGGCAACAAAGGAGCCAAGAAAAATTTATTAGGGCAATCCCGGGCGAGGTTCACCGGTCCTTATAGCTGTGGGCCGGAGAAGTCGCGCCTAGAAAAATTTATTAGCGCAATCCCGGGCGAGGCTCTCCGGTCCATATAGCTGTGGGCCGGAGAAGTCGCCCCCAGCAAGATGGGTGACGGGTTTATAAAGGGCACGCTGAGAAAGCTGTGAGGGGGATTGGGGAGAGCGATCATTGGTTGGGACAGCTGTCGCGTCTGCTGGCGATTGGCTGAACGGGGTTGCTAGAATCGCTGTAACAGGTACTGGCTGGCTTTGTGGCTGGGGTCTTAGTTTCGGCCTGGTCCGGATTGGAGCCATCTTGTTGAGGCGAAGCGAGGCCCGCCCCGCCCTCCGGTACCTCCGACCTTACAGAAGGTACTCTGAGAGTTGATCTTTAGGGAAAGAACTGAGGGTGAAAAAAATTGTGTGTGTGTGTGTGTTTTCTGACCCTAGTAACTCAAGGAGTGGATCTCTCTGTGCAGTTTATTTCCCTGTGTGTAATGGTCATGGCTGCCCTGCCCTCTCCCGAGGGTAGAATACAAATGTGAATGGCGCCACTGCAAATGCTGCTCTAAGCCAGGTGGCCAGGAAGAATGAACGGCCCAGGTCCCTTCCCCAGAGCCAGTTTTCTGCCTGGGTCCACGGCCAGGCGGTCTGGGATTCTCCAGGCCTGGCCCTTGGTTGCTGCTGAGCCTGGGTTCTCCCCTGCCTCCCTGGGTGATGTGCCTCATGGGCAGAATTGTAGTGCATTTTGGGGAATGAAGCACAGCGGTTCTTTCTGGAAGGCAGCCCACTCCTTCCGCTGTGCTCCAGCTCATTAGCAGTGCAAGCAGCAGCTTTCTGGGCTCGGGAAGCCATCTTGGGGCCACCAGAGACACTGCCTGCCAATTCAGGACCTCCCTAATTGGTGCTGACACAGGACTGAGGGAATGATAATCTTCCTGGCACTCCTTAAAGTGGTCTTCCAAGAGAGTGGGCCTTGGGAATTGGCAGCCTTTCCGCTTGTGGATTCATGCCAATGGTGAACTCGCTGAAGGGCCACTCGTCATAGATCTTTCATGTCTCATACTGTCTCAGGCACATACCCCAGGTATGGGCACAGCTCAGGGTCAATGCCAATGGCAATTCTGAAGCCTCAAGACTGAGTGGGACATCACGTGCAGCAGAAAGTAGAGGCTCAGGGATGGCGTGTGACATTTCTACCCCTCCATGGGACGCTGCTAGATCACCCCCAGACAGGCCTATGGCTCTATCCCAGGCTCTTCTTCAGAGGGCTGGCTTTGGCTTTCCCATCCAGACACAGGTCCACTCTCTGTGTGCCAGGGGTGAGGTCTGCAGGAGGACCCTTCCACCTCCTGCAGACCTCACCCCTGGCACACAGAGAGTGGACCTGTGTGATCAAGCTTCAGTGGTCAGACTCTGTTTTGCTTCGGAAGAAGAAGACCTGTTTGGCTGCCACTGCTTGCTCACCTGCGTGACATGACAGGTATTAAAGTGGGACAAAAGAAGGCCCAGCAAAGGCCCCTTCCTCCGGACCATATTCCTCACTAGCCTTGTCAACCCTGGAGTGTCTTGGCTAGGATCCAAGACTGAGTCCCTGTTGAAAACCAGCGAGATACTGAAGGACATCAACTCATCTTCCTTAGGGGCTGGGGAAGAAGCTCCCATTGGAGCAAATGCCCCTCCAAACAGCCAGGCCGCCCCCTCCCTCCCAGCTGGGGGCCTGGCTGAGTGCAGGGTCTGCCTACCAAGTAGGCTGAGCCAGGGCCTGGCAGGGAGCTGAGGCCAGCTATAGCTGTCAGACAGGATCCTGGACCCCCAGGTACTCGCTCTGGGCACAGGTCACTGAGCAGGACATGGCTGGGATGGGCAAAAAGGCATCACTGCTTAGGGTTAGGATAGGGAAGAGTCTGCAGCTGATTGGAATCAGCACTGCAAGTCCATCCCAGGGAGACATGAGCGCCCCATCAAGTGCCACCTCTGGAGAGGTGCTGACACTTTGGCCTCCCTTCAGCTGAGGCTCTGAAGCTGGCAAGGGAGAGCGTGACCGGGAGAAGGGAGGACTAAGGGAATTCCACGCGGTGACCCTTGCTTCTGGGCTTGGATGTGCGTTCCGCTAAAGTGCTGTGCCTTTAAGGTCCACTGGGGGCGTGCTGTCAGCCTCCCGCGGGCTCCGGGAGAGGCGAGGGCGGCAGCCCGCGCGGCGGGTGACTCGGGACTGAGTTTGCAGTAGGCAGTGTGCTCAGCGTCTCCGACTTTTTTCCTCCCGCGCCCCGGTGCCCGCGGGCCATGCCCCACAGAAACTGAGTAGGCATTGCCCCGGCTGCGGGAGGGCGAGGTGCCGCGCGGCCCCGGCCATGGGCAGCTTCCAGCTGGAAGACTTCGCGGCAGGCTGGATTGGAGGTGAGTGTACTCACCGGGGACCCCCGCACCAGCGCCGGCCCGGACAAGCTTGTCCGCCGCACTCGGGGGCAGGAGGCTTTGCACCGCGCGGAACTCCATCCCGCGCCCCGGAGTGCGCCCCTGCTGCTGGGAGTGACCCCTCCCCGAGTCCTCTCGGGGGGTCCTGCAGTTAGTTCCAGGTCTACTGCCCGAGTTAGCAAAACTCCGGGCTTACCTTCTCAGCGAGTCACCCCGAGCTTCCAATTTGCCTCAAAGTTGGGACCCGCGCAACTTGCGGTAATGATTAAACTGCCAGTCAAAGCCGACAGCCAATGGAACCTCCAGGCGCGTACACACCCTTCGGTGACCGGGTGCGCACACCTGAATTTAGGGATGTGGCCGCGGGCTCTCGTGCGTGAAGGTGGCGCCTGGCAACCGGTCCCTGGGCGCCGGCTGGCGGGGAGCCCAGCTTCCTGGTCGAACCCTCCCTAGGGGGCGCCCCGCCTGGAGGGTGTGGAGCGCGCAGGGCAGGGAGCGGAGTGCAGGGCTCCAGGTGCTCCTTGCCAGCCCCGGGATCCCTTCCCGTCTTCAGCCGCCCTCGGCCATCAGCCTGTCGCCTTCCTCCAAGGCCCCTCCTGCGGGCACTGTCCATTCTGCTGGTCCCTCCTCCAGGCTCCTGGAGCCTCTCTTTGCTGGGCCTCGGATGGGTTGCTTGGGCAAGAGTTGTGCTAACTCCCTTGCTTCTCCATTCTTTCCAGCAGGCCTATTCCTCTTTTTTCAGCTATTGAAGGAGGGGGGAGTTTGAAGGACTTGGCTAATTGTAAAATATAATGATCTTACTTTGCACCCATCTAAGAGGTTTATTCTAAAAAAAAGATGTTGGCAAACGCAGCCCTTCCCCAGAGGAAAAGAAAATAAGATTAAAAAAACCACAAATCAGATAGATTCTCAGGTCCTCCCCTCCCATCTAGCAGGAGGCCACCTCTTTCCCCCCACAGTAGACTACAGGGCCCCTGCTTCACATCTTCCAGAGCAAAGGTGACTCTCTTCATGGTGGGTTATTCTGTTGGCACCATTGCTGTTGGGTTGGGCTGAGATCTGCCTCTCCTAACTTTACCAGTCAGGAGCTGCTGCCTGAGACCCACTGGGCGTATTCAGGCTCCTTTTGACTGGACAATTCTTTCACCATTCTGAGAAGCAGGCAGAGAAAGGAGATCCTTTCCTTACTGTCCCTTACACAAACAGATCAACTTTACTAAGGCTGCAAATGGCTTAGTTTGAGAATGGAGGGCAGGGCTGAGTCCGAGTAGCTCCAAGCCTTTGATTAGAGAGAGACCCCCCCGCAATCCCAGATGTGATAACTCATGGGCCCTCCCCAACTCACACAGCAACTGGGGAACTGCCCTTTATTCTTTCTGAGATTTTCCAGACTTTGTTGATGTTAATATACTTTTTTTTTTGCTTCCATGAAATGATAAGGGTGGTAACACTGAACACTTAGGAGGTGCCAGGTGCTGTTTAAGTGCTGTATATGTACTTTTTACACAACTTTATTGAGTTCTATTTTATGTATCATAAAATTCATCCATTGCAAGTGAACAATGCAATGATATTTAGTAACGTTATCAAGTGGTACAACCATTGCCGTAAATTAAGTTTAGAACATTCCCATTCCCCCATATAAGATCCTTCATGTTCATTTGCGGTTGAGCCCCCCTGCAACCCACTCAGACACCATTAATCTACTTTCTATAAATTTGTCTTTCCTGAATATTTTATATCAATTGAATCCTGCAATATGGGGTTTCTGGTGTCTATATATTTTATTTAATTATTATAACAACCTCAGTCAGATAGGTACTGTTTCATCCCCATTTCACAGATGAAGAAATTGAGATACTGAGAAATTCACTGGCTTGCCTAAGGTCATGCATCTAGCATGGACACTGGGATTGCAACCCCGGCATTCTGGCGCCAGGGTTTTAGATCCTGTACTTGTCTACAGCTCTTTGCCTTCCTTACAACCTTGCATGGCAACATTTTAATATTACATTCCCCACATTTTTGAAGAGCCTGGAAGCCACTGACTTGGTAATCCCATTTCTAAATCTGCATTCAGATGGGTGGACTAATGAGTGACGGGGGGATGCTGGCCAAGGTTGGCACCAAGGACTGTCTGCAGTCTTCACGGCCCACTTCTGGGCCGTGCCTGCAGTTTCTGATTTTCCAGAGAATCTTCTACCCAGGGCAGGTTCTCTGCTGCCAGCCCAGGGGATGGGGGTCCCCGGAGGCCTGGTTTATACTAGGAGGACTTGAATGCCAGGCTAGGACTTTGGACCTAGGGTGGAAATGAGAACCCATTATAATCTGATGAAGCACATGATGGAGAGGGGGTGAAAACTCTGGGGCTGGCAGGGACTTCCTGGCATTGGGATCATCAAGCCCCCTTGCTCTGGGTACGTTCCCCAGAAAGGGGAAGGAGTTTGTCTCAGGTCACACAACAAGTTAACAACGGAGGAGTGAGATGCTGCAAAGGAGCATTCTTTGACCCCACCCTGCCACCTGTTCCCAGTGGTGGTAAGCAGGACAGAGAGACACTGTTGCCGGGAAGGGCTTCTGCAAGGGGAGACTTTCTTCCTGCTCATCATGTCTCTGCTCCTACCCAGTTCAGTGGGAAGGCAGGGATGAGAAGGGCAGAAGGTTCCGGGCTCAGGGAACCATGGTTCTGGGATGAGCCAGTTTCTCTGTCCTTGTAAATATCTAATATTACTGGACCCCTGACCTACCTTACCTGGTTAAGTTACCTCTGCTTAACAGAGACATTTCCTTTCTCATCTGTGTGATGAGGAATTTGCCTTTAAGAATAACTCCTGTTTCATCCTCAGTCATTGCTTCTACAACAAGGGCTGCTTCATCTAGGCGGCCTTGAGTTAGCCTTGTTCCCTCCAAATTGTACAGGCTTTGTGACTGTGTATATGGATATGCATTTTTTTTTCTTTGAAAAGGCACAGCATATTCATCACCTTTCTAAAGGGGTCTTCTTTTTTCAAAAAAAAACCTATAGTGATAGCATTCATTTTGGAGCATCCTACAAGTGTCAGGCTCTCTCTCTTATTCATTTCGCTCTTATAATGGAATCATGAGGTAGGTGCTGTCTTTTCTACGCTATTATTTCTATTGTATGCTGAAAGTGAGGCATAGAGAAATTAAGGAACCTGCAGGTAACTGAGAATTTTCTGGGTTTTCTCTTCATACCCTCTCTTTTAAGTTGAAATTCACATTTTAAAGTGTAAGATTCAGCAGTTTTTAGTGCATTCACAATGCTGTGCAACCTCTATCTAGTTACAAAACATTTTCCTCATGACCAAAGGAGATTCTGTACCCATTAAACAGTTACTCCCATGCCCTCCTCCTTCCAGCCCTGGCAGCCACTCATGTTTTCTGTCTTTATGACTTACCTATTCGGGATTATTCATTTAAGTAGAATTACGCAATATGCTGTCTTTTGTGTCTGGCCTCTTTTATGTAGCAGAATAATTTCCAGGTTCATCCATACTGTAGCACTTATCAGCAGTTTCTTTTCTTTGCTGAACAGTATTCCTTTGTGTGCATATCTCACATGTTTATCCTTACATCAGTTGATGGGCATTTGGGCTGTTTCAACTTTTTGGTTGTTGTGAACAATGCTGCCATGAACATGGGTGCATGCATGTACTTGTTTGAATATCTGATTTTAATTCTTGGATGTATACCTAGGAGTGGAATTACCAGGTCAGGTTATAATTCTATGTTTAACTTTTTTGAGGAACTGCCAAATTGTTCCCACAGTGACTGAACTATGTTGTATTTCTTCCAGCAATGTCCAAGAGTTTCAATTTCTTTACATCATCCTTGCCAACACTTATTTTCCATTTTTTAAAAAAAAGTATAGATATTCCAGTGGGTATGAAGGTGACTCTCATTGTGATGCTGATTTGCATTTGCCTAATAACTAATGATGTTGAACATCTGTTCATGTGCTTTTTGTTATTGGTATATCTTCTTTAGAGAAATGTCTATTCAAGTTCATTGCTCATTAAATTTTTTTTAGCTGTGGGAATTCTACATATATTCTGGATATAAGACCTTTATCAAATAAATGATTTGTACACATTTTCTCCAGTTCTGTAGGTTGTCTTCATTTTCTTGAGAGTGTTCTTTGATGCACAAAAGTTTTCAATTTTTATGAAGTCCAATTTATCTACTCTTTCTTTTGTTGCTTGTGTTCTTAGTGTTAGTTACAAGAGTCCATTGTAAATCTCAAGTTATGAATATTTTTTCTTATATTTTAGTCTAAAAGTTTCATATTCTTGCTCTTTATAATTGAGGTCTTTGAACTACTTTGAATTAATTCTTGTATATGGTATGAGGTGGGGTTTAACTCCATTCTTTTGCATGTGGATATCCAATTGTCCCAGTACCTTCACTTCCCTTTTTAAGGGTGCTAGCTTCTTGAGGCAAGGTTCTACTCCATTTTATTGGCTTTCCTTGGTGCCTGAGCCAGTGCCTAGCACACTGGAGGCCACCTCCAGTGACTGACCATTGACTGAATGAGTGACTATTTTGTCTGAGTTCTCTGTTCTGTCCCAAGAGCAAACTTGTGCAAACCAGAAGTTCAAGGACTGAGTGAACAGTTGTTCTTTTGTGATCCACAGGTGCAGCCAGTGTCGTCGTCGGCCACCCTCTGGACACGGTCAAGGTACAGTAGCCATGTTTCTCACTACCTTTTGGAAAGAGGTTTGGAGCTGGCCCACTTCCGGGGCTGTGCCTGCTGTTTCTGAACTTCCAGAGAATCTTCTGCCCAGGGCAGTTTCTCTACTGCCAGCCCAGGGGATGTGGCGTGCTCAGAGGCCTGGTTTATGCTAGGAGAACTTGAATGCCAGGCTAGGACTTTGGACCTAGAGTGGAAATGGGAACCCATTATAATCTGATGAAGCACATGGTAGGAAAGGGGTGAGGACCCTGGGGCTGGCAGAGCCTTCCTGGCACTGGGATCATCAAATCCCCTGGCTCTGGGTACGTTCCCCAGAAAGGGGAAGGAGCTTGTCTCAGGTCACACAACAAGTTAACAATGGAGGAGTGAGATGCTGCAAAGGAACATTCTTTGACCCCACCCTGTCACCTGTCCCCAGTGGTGAGCAGGACTGAGAGCCACTCCCTGGGAACAAGGCTATAAATAGTGCCACCTCACTGCTGACTGGCTTTCAGATCTGTATCTAAATCTCTACCTGGATTGTGTACAAAGAGGAACCTCTTGGACCCTTCTCAAATGGCTGCTGCAATTTCAATTTCCTTTCTCCTCATCTTCTTCCCTTTATGACAATGGACCTTCTCATGGTGTGGGTCCCAGGCCTACTCTTCTTGATGGGAAAGATTGGCCCACTTATTTTAAGTGTTTGAAGAAACCTTTTAAACAGTAAAGAGGAGCGTCTAGAATCCTCAGGGGAGGTTCCAAACCAAGGGAATGGCAAACAGGACCCAGTGCTGGGAGATGGCCACACATAATGGTGAATAAGTCAGCCTTAGCTTATCCTCCCATTTCATATAGGAGGAGAGTGAAGTACAGAGTTCAGGAATCTTCCCCAGACCTCAGAACTGGACATGATAGTGCTGGGGCACACAGCTCCAAGGTGAACTTTGCTCCTAGGTCCGCTGGTCTCACGGTCCGTGCCATCTCTACATTTGTAGCTCCTGGAACTGGTTGGAACCCAATGATGTCTCCCAAATGGAGGAGAGGAGTCCTAGAGCCACTTTCTCAAAGAAAACTGGCATGATGTTGCTGCTGGCATGGGCCTCTGGGGAATAGCCTCTACAATACTACCAGTTCTGGAGTCCAGCCTCATTCTTCTGCATATGGTTGACTAGTTTTCCCAGCATCATTTGCTAAATAGGATGTCCTTTCCCCAGGATACATTGAGTTTTTGTCGACTTTGTCAAAGATGAGATGGTTGCAAGACAGCAGTTTTATTTCTGAGTTCTCTATTCTGTTTCATTGGTCTATGTGTCTATTTTTGTACCAGTCACATGCTGTTTTGGTTACTGTAGCCTTGTAGTAAAGTTTGAAGTCCTGCAGTGTGTTGCCTCCAGGTGTGCTCTTTTTGCTTAGAATTGCTCTGGCTATTCTGGCTCTTTTTTACTTCTATATGAATTTAAGTATTATTTTTTCTAGATCTGTGAAAAATGATGTTGGTAGTTTGATAGGATCATGTCTGAACTGTAGATTGCTATAGGCAATGTGGATATTTTAATAATATTGATTCTTCCAATCCATGGGCATGGATTGTTTTTCCATTTGTTTGTACCATCTTTAATTTCTTTAAGCAGTGTTTTGTAGTTCTTGCTGTAGAGATCTTTCACTTCTTTGGTTAGATGTATTCCAAGGTATTTTTGTGTGTGTGCATAACTATTGTAAATGAGATTGTTTTCTTGATTTGGTTCTCAGCTTGAACTTTGTTGGTGTATAGAAATATGACTGATTTTTGAGTGTTGATTTTATGTCCTGAGATTTTATTAAAGTTGCTTATGAGTGCTAGGGCTTTTTTGGTGAAATCTTTAGGTTTTCTAGATATAAAATTATACAACTTGCAAAGAGAAATAACTTAACTTTCTCCTTTCCTATTTTACTTCTTCCACTTGCCTTTTGATTGCTCTGGCTAGGACTTCTAATACTATGTTTAATAGGAGTGATGAGATATGAAAATACTTATCTTGTTCTAGTTCTTAGGGGGAATCCTTCTAACTCCTGCCCATTAAGTATGATGTTAACTGTGGGTTTGTCCTAAATGTCTCTTATTATTTTGAAAAATGTTCCTTCGGTGACTAGATGGCTGAGGATTTTTATCATGAAAAGATGCTGGATTTTTTTTTTCTGTGTCTATTAAGATAATCATACGACTCTTGTTTTTACTTCTGTTTTGTGGTGGATTATGTGTATTGATTTGCATACGTTGAACCAGCTTCACATCTTGGGAATAAAGCCCACCCAATCATGATGAATAATTTTTTCAATGTGCTTTGCTAGTATTTCATTGGAGATTTCGCATCTATGTTCATCAGTTATACCAACCAGTAGTTTTCTTTCTTTCTTTGTTGTCATTACCATTTATTGGTATCAGGATGATGTTGGCTTCATAGAATGACTTAGAGAGGAGTCTCTCCTCAATTGTTTGGAATAATTTTAATAGTTTGGATACTAGCTCTTCCTTGTACGTTCGGTAGAATTCAGCTGTGAATTCATCTGGTCCAGACTTTTTTTGGTAGGCAGGTTTTTCATGGCTTATATTGGTCTGTCCAGAGTTTCAATTTCTTCCTGTTTCAATCTTGGGAGATTGTGAATTTATCCATTTCCTTCAGTTTTTCTAATTTGCACACATTTAGATGTTTATGGCAATCTTATGTTCTTTTGTATTTCTTCTGAATTGGTTGTAATGTCACCTTTTTCATTCCTGAGTGTATTTGTTTGAATCCTCGCCGTGCCCCCCCCCCATTAATCTGGCCAGGGGTTTGTTGATCTTGTTTATCTTTTCAGAGAACCAGTTTTTAAACTTGCTGATCCTTTGAATGTTTCCCCCCCCCTCAATATCATTTATTTCTGCTCCAGTTTTAGTTATCTCTTTTCTTCTGCTAGCTTTGGTGTTAGTTTGTTACTATTTTTCTAGTCCCTTTAGGTGAGTTGTTAGAGTGTTTATTTGAGATCCTTCTGTTTTCATGATGTAAATGGGCAGTGCAATAAATTTTGTTCTCCTACTGCTTTGGCAGCATCCCAAATATTTTGGTATGTTGTGTATTTTTTAAAAATTTTGTTTCAAAGAACTTTTAAATATCTTTCTTGATTTCATTGTTTACCCCCAAATCATTCAGAAACCAGTTGTATCGTTTCCATGTATTTGTGTGCTTTTGAGAATTCCTCTGGTTATTGATTTCTAGTTTCATTCCACTGTGGTCAGAGAAGATGCTTGTTATGATTTAAATGTTCTGGAATTTATTCAAGGTTGATTTATGACCAAATATGTGGGCATTCTTAGAGTATGACCCATGTGTGACTAAGAAGAATGTATATGCTGTATAGTTGTTGAGTGAAGTGTTTTGTAGATGTCTGTTAGATCTAATTGGCCAAATGTCAAATTTAAGTCCAGGATTTCTTGGTCAGTTTTATGCCTCAGCAATCTTTCTAAAGCTGCTGTCATTGTGTGGCTGTCTGTGTCCTCTCTTAAGTTAAGTAGCAATTGTTTTATAAATCTGGGTGCTTCTATGTTGGGTGCATATATATTTTAAATAAATATTTTTTGTAGTTGCATTGAGCTCTTTATCATTATGTAATGCTCTTTATTATTTTCATTGTCCTTTTCTACTTTTATTGGTTTGCAATCTATTTTATCAAATATAAGAATGGTGGTGACTGCTTTTTTTTACTTTCCATTTGTGTGGTAGATTGCTCTCTATCCCTTTATCTGGAGCCTATGAGTGTCGTTAGAGGTGAGGTGGGTCTCCTGGAGTCATCAGAAGGATGATTCTTGTTTTTTTATTCAATTTGCCACTCTGTGTCTTTTAAGTGGAACACTAAGGGCATTAACATTCAGAGTTACTATAAATATGTGAGGATTTGTTCCTGTCATAGTGTTGTTGAGGAGTTGCTTAGTGGTCTCAGTTTTGTGGGTGATTTATATGGCCCACAAGCTGGCTGTGTGTTTACTTGTGTTTTTGTGTTAGATGTTGTCATCTTTTTAAAATTTTTCCATGTTTAGAACTTTTTAAAGCATCTCTTATAAGACCAGTCTAGAAGTGGTGAATTCTTTAGTGATTGCTTGTCTTGAAAAGACTTTATTTCACCTTTATTTATCAAGTTTAGTTTGGCAGGGCAAGCCTTGGGAGGCATTTCTTTTCTTTAAGAATGTTATAAATAGACACCCAATCTCTCTTGGCTTGTAAGGTTTCTGTTGAGATGTCTGCTGTTATTCTGATGGGTCTCCCTTGGTAGGTGTTCTGTCCCTTTTTTCTAGTTGCCTTTAAGATTTTTTTCTATTGTGCTGACCTTGAATAGTCTAGAGACTATGTGCCTTGGGGATGACCTATGCTACTCGTAAAGTATCTCTCAAGAGTTCTCTGAATTTCTTGTGGTAGCTTGTAGTTTTATCAACAAAATTCTGTATAAATTTTTTCTCAATTGCCACATCATGTGAAAATGTCTAGCTGGATTTTGACCAAAATGTTACATTTTAAAGAATGTGTTTAAAATTCTCTGATTTAAATGGTACGTATACACTTATCTTTGGGGGCCAATTAGAACACCTCAAAAGATGAGGGGTCATTCCCTGAGTGGCTTCCTTAGTTGACTGTCCATAGAGCTGTTTGTCACATACTTGTCTGTGTACATATGAGCAAGGAAAAGGGCTGTTGTTTTCTAAAAACTAGGTTGACTTTATGAATGTGAATTAGTAACAAATAGTTGAATTGAGTGTGAGAGATTTAACTGTAAAAAATTGTGAGGGGGGATGCATTAGTTTCCTTGGGCTGCTGTAGCAAATTGCCACAAACTAGGTGGTTTAAAACAATGGGACTTTAAATTCTCACAGTTCAGGAAGCAGGAAGTCTAAAATCAAGGTGTTGGCTCCTTCTAGAGGCCCTAAGGGAGAATCCATCCCATGCTTCTCTTTTCTAGCTTCTGGGGGTTATTGGCATTCTTGGGCTGTGGCTCTATAACTCCAATCTCTGCCTCTGTCTTCACAAGACTGCTCCTTCTGTATCTCTGTGTGTCAAATCTCACTTTGCTTTCTAAGGACATTGGTCTTTGGATTTAGGGCTCTCTCCCTCTGCACAGGCCAGCCTAGCCACAGTTGTCTGAAAAAGCTGGACTCTCTTCCTTCTCTGCACTCTGTCCCCTGAACCTCTGGAGGGGACCCTTCCTGAAACATGAGATCCAGCCTTTGTTTGGCTCAAGAACCTCTGGCTCTGGCTGAGAAACAGCTTGGTGATGCAGCACATGGCCTGCCTCGTGTGCAGCCTGGGGTGTGGTCCCGGGCCCCTGTAGCACTCCAGAGCATCCTCTTTCCTTCCTTCTGGCTGATATTTTTTCTTTTCTTTCTTTCTTTTTTTTTGAGTGGGAGTCTTACTCCGTTGCCCAGACTGGAGTGCCGTGGCACACTCACGGCCACCCCAGCGTCAACCTGCTGGGCTGCAGCATTCCTTCTGCCTCAGCCTTCCTTCTGCCTCAGCCTTCCAAGTAGCTGGAACTACAGGCACACGCTACCGTGGCCAGTTATTTTTTTTTTAATTTATTGTAGAGATGAGGTCTCATGAAGTTGCCCGGGCTGATCTTGAACCCGTGGGCTGAAGCAATCCACTTGCCTCGGTTTCCCAAAGTGCTGGGATTACAGGCTGAGCCACCAAGCTTGGCTGGCTGATGTTTTTTTCTAGAGTCCCTGCCCACTGAGAAAAGCCCAGGAATGTCGGAACAGCTTGAAATCCAGTTCTGGCCTCATCATCTGCTCTCCTGTGACCCAGGACACAGCATTTAACCTTTTTAAGCCTTCGTTTCCATATCTGGAAAGTGGGTAAATAGTACCTCCCTGATGGGGCAGTCATGAAGCTAGTTCATGGAGGCACTGAGAAGAACATGATGAGTGAGACGTTGAACAGATGCACTGCAGTGTGGAGAGGCAGATCATTGACTTGCCTGAGGTCCTAGCTACAAATACATAGGCTGCTGACCCAGGACAAAGGCTCCTTCCTCTACCCTCAGCTGCCTGAATAGAGGTGGGGAAGGCATACCTGGAAGACTTCAGAGTGTACGCCTGAAGCGGCATGGCTAGGTTTTCTAGTCAGGGCTCAGCTGCCTGTAAGCCACCTGGACCTGGTAGCAATAGGCAGGCTTTGGGGGGTATCTGCCTTCCTCTCTTGAACATCCCACGGGGCTTCTTGCCTTGCTCCAGTGTGGTCCCCACCACTTTAGGCTGCTCCTGACTACCCAGTCCAGCCTCAGGTATGCATGTTGGCCCAGGATAGCCAAGGCATGGTTTGCTCTGCCAGGTCTGGGACATCCAGAGATGGCCAGGCATTGGCTTAGCTCCCAACTCTCGCCCCTACCACTGAGTACTCATCTTTCTCTCCCTGGGTGTTCATGTGTGGGGTCCTGAGAGCTTTAAATGGGAGGGAAAGCCACATACTGGAGGAGTATGAGCTCACAGCACCCATGATGTGAATTTTATAGTGTTGGGCCAAATATCCCACACAGGGCCACGGTCTTTAAGATATGTCCACTGCATGCATAGAACCCAGAGCTCATGCACTGTATAAGGACCCAGCAAAGTGTCAGCAACCTGAGAAAATACTATATGAAAAGTACAGGATCAAAACTAATGATGCATTAAATGTTTACAAAATATAACCTTATGTTAAATAGTCAAATGTAATTCAACTTTCATGGAGGTCTATATGGATGATATTTAATGTGGGATGCACATTAAATATATAATATTATACTTAATTTTATCTTGCTTGATATGATATGAAGTAACAGAGTCTAAAATATAAGCAAGATTTTTGTTGTTGTTGTTTTTTGTTCGTTCTTGCTTTGAGATAGAGTCCCACTCTGTTGCCCAGATTCGAGTGCAGTGGCACAATCATGGCTCACCGCAGCTTTGATTTGCTGGGCTTAGATGATCCTTCTGTCAGCCTCTCAAATAGCTGGGACTATGGGTGTGCACCACCATGCCTGGCTAATTATTTTTTTATTTTTTGAAGAGATGGGTCTTGCTATGATGCCCAGGCTGGTCTAGAATTCCTGACCTGAAGTGATTCTCCCACCTCGGCCTCCCAAAGTGTTGGAATGACAGGCATGAGCCCCACATGTAGCCCATAAGCAAGTCTCAAAATTGCCTCGATTCTATAGAACCAGGAGAGGCAAGAAAGATGATAGAAGAGTCCATCAATTCTCCAGGCCTCAAACAAAGGCTCTGGGCATCTTGAATTTGGAGTCAGCTGCCAAATGATGCTCAGTTTGTGGACCTTGGTAGAAGACAATCTCTGCTTTACCTGATTGATAAAAGTCCCGAAGCTGGTCTGGGTAGCCAAACTCCCTTCTTTTTTGTCTTTCATGGGCCAGGTTAGAGTGTTCTGGGCACATTTGTGGGCTTACTCAAACCCTTGTGCCTATCAGCTACTGCCCTTGTCACCACAGCCACCTCATTCAGAGGGCAACACTCCCTGGCCATGCAGCCCTCGGCCAGTACAGAGGAGCCACTGTGTCAGGCCTGTGCCCAGCTCTGGTGTCAAGAGGAAAGTATAACAGACTGCCTTGCCCTAGTAAGGTGATCCAACATATGAGGGAGGACCCCCAAAACTCAGAGTTATCTTCTGGAGGGAAGGCTCCTTGTAGTACAGGCTTCCCCTGCTAGGTAAGTGTTTGGTGAACCCATCGGCATCATTGTACCAGCTAGTGTTGTTGTGAGAAGCTGTATTCGGCTTCATTGAATATTTTCTGGGGGATGGAGAGATTCTTTCAATGCGTTTGCCCATTTCCTAATGGGTGATATACAAGCGCACCTGTCCATACCACACTGAGTGTTCAGCAGTTTTTGACCAAAAACACCATGATCTCCATGCCCCACCCTTCCTTGTTCACCCAATCTCACCCTGAGTGACTTTTTTTTTGTTTCCCCGAATGAAAAATGTCTTCAGAGGGAAACATTTTGCTGATGTGGAAGATGTGAAACAAAAAAATGACAGAAGTTCCAAAAGACACCAAAATTGACGAGTTCAAAAACTGTTTTGAGCAGGGGAAACAGCGCCTTGATGGGTATCTTGCATCAGACAGAGAGTATCTTGAAGTTGACTGAAGTTTAAACATGTAAGAATAAATACACATTTTAAAGAAATAAATTTCAGCATTTTGGGGGGTCCCCCCGTAAACCCTTGCATAATCAAACAGATAGGACTACTGTGACATCTCAGCTCAGACTCAGAGATGCGTAGGAGCTGGAAGAAGCGCCATCCAGAAGGATGAAATAGCAAGGAACAATGGCAGGAGGCAGGAACGAATTGCTGCTCTGGGGACTGAGAATGTGCCATGTGGTGGGCAGGGAGGGCAGGAACAGCGGGACTCAGAGTAGGAAATGGCATTTGGAGTGAGAGGCAGCTCAGTGTTACACTAGGCCTCCTGGGCACAGGTAGAGAGTGGAATTTATTCTGAGTTTGATGGGAGGCCATGGGGGAGCTTTAAACAGATGTGCTGCAGCTTCATCGACTTTTGAAAAAGATCACTCTGACTTATGTAGAGAGAGGTGGCGGGAATGAGGGGGGGAAAGGAGACCAGAGAGGGCCAGTGCCCCGTCCCGGTGAGGATGAAGGGGCAAGGGAGGCCCTGGGTGGTGGCTCTGGGACAAGAAGAGTGTGCCTTCTCCAGGGATATTTAGGAGGGTGGCGTGACAGACGGCAGATAGGGTAGAGCACCAGCATAGCTTTTTGTACTCAAGAGGCAAGGGTCATACAGTCCCCAGCAACCATCCTTTTTATACAACTGGATGGCTTTGTCCTATCCTCAGCAGAGCGGGCTTTTGCTGCATTGAGCAAATCTGAGACTAGGTCATTGGGGGAGACAGTGCACCCAGAGGACAGAGCACCAGCCTGGCCAGGACTGAAACCAGATCTCTTTAGCGGCGGGTAACTCTGGGTAGGGCCTTCCCTTTTCTGGGAATCTTCTGGGGGTATGGGGATGTGGATGATCTCTGAGTGGGCTCCATGCCTTTGCCTCTCTCCACAGGCTCGCCTTCAGGCCGGCGTCGGCTACGGGAACACCCTCAGCTGCATCCGCATGGTATACAGGAGGGAGAGCGTAAGTGCCCCTTGGGCTGGTGGAGTGATGCCCTCTTGAGCCTCCTTCAGGCTTGGGGACTGTGACCATAGCCCCATGCCAGCACGTCAGGCAGGGACTGCTCCTTCCATTCATCTCACTGGGCTCAATTTTTTTCTACTCATCTCACACCACACCTCAAATATTGCCTAAATTTACCTCTGCCACCTAGTGCCACATTATGGGGCGGGGGGGACTGGATTTGTTTAACCTCCCTGGAGAAATCCTGAGGAATTTAGAACTACGATGTGGAAAATTCCTACAAAAACAAGGTGAACTGTCAGTTTTTCAAAAACGAACCAGTGGCCAATAAGCCATGTGCTGACGGATTCTCCTTTCTTCAGTGTGGCGGGAGCCAGGCACATCTGAGTCGAGACGCCAGAGCTCACCTGCACCCAGGTTGCTTGAGATCATGTGACCCGAGGTGCTTCTTTTCCAAGGGAAAAACTGGACAATATTTTGTAGAAGATGATGCATCAGGCTCCCTTCTTAAGAATTAGCATGTGCTTTAGGAAGTTTTTCTAAGGACTCTCTTTGGGCAATTTAGGATACATTTTAAAATTTTGAATGAAATGACCCCATTAAAAAAAAACAGTCAGGTGGAAACCCTGTGTCAGCTCTGTGGCTTTTCCTTGAGTCGAGTCACTGGAAGAAGTGCTGTCCCATTGTGACCATTGTTTCCACCCAGTCCATCCTAACAAGATCCCCAGGTCTCGGAAGCCTCCCGCCAGCTCCTAGCGTTTTCCCACAGTTGAAGTGTGCCTTGTGTCAGGGAGTTGTTTTAACTCTCTTATTCGGTTGCTTTCACCTGGGGGCAAACATTGAAAACCTAGCACTTGGTGTTCCCGGGTAATCCTGTGTGATTCTGGGTTCCCTGAAAGCAGCCATTGACTCTCTTTTTGGCACACATCCCCAGAGTGTCTGCCAGCCCGCGTCCCAGCTTCGGGGATTTGGTGGGGACTGTGGGCGGTTTCTCTGAGATACAGCAGCTCACGGCTAAGCAATATCCCAAGTTATGTGAAGGATCCTGTGATGGAGGAGGAGCATGAAACAGGGCATGTGCGTGCATGTGGTTGTGCATATGCGGGTGTGTGTAAGGCATCCTACCTTTGGCAGCCAATTTGCAGTGCACGCTATCAGGATTGATGGGTCTGTGCACAGCCTGGAGTCTCTACAATGGCTTCTCAGTACTTGTTCACCTTTGGCACGTGTGAGCTGCCCTGACTCCTCCAAAGGTCTGTGGAATTTTCTGGATTTCCTTGGAGCCTCTGTGTTGTTCATTGAGAATGCAGTATAGAAAGAGGACTTGACCATCCCCTCTCCATTCCTCAGCCTCCTGTGTCCTGTGTGTGTGCATAAGTCCCTTCCTGTATTCCTCTGAGGCCCCCTCTCTAGCCACTTCTGTCAGGAGACCAGTCTCCTGGGCTGGCCCGGTGCCCCTTGGGCCCCTGACCACACAGGCTTAGCAGATGGTATCGTAATTGCCTGTCCGTGCGCCTATCCCCATCCTTCCTCCCCTGCCCTGTCCCCAGATAATGAACTCAGGGAGGATGGAGATTGTCTCTGTCCTATTGTTGTCCCCCAGGGGCTGGCACGTGGCAAGTGTTTGGAGAACACTTCTGATTGAGTGGCAAATGAGGAGGGGGCATGTGGCGTTTGGCCAGCCCACGGCCCCTTAGGGTTCCTCAGGCTCCTCCTTGGCCACAACCTGACTTCTTTCCAGTCCACTGTCACTCCCACAGCATGTACGGGTTCCAGGCCAGGACACCACCCACAGGAAACAAAGCCTCACCGAAGCCATTTCCTCCTCAGGCAGTAAGGCCCTCCCATGAGCTGCGAGGACAGGGACACACAAACTCACCTCTCCTGGCACATCAGTGTCCCTTCTCCTCGTTTCACTTACACATTGACTTACTTGTCCTGTGGTGTCTACCCCACCAGCTTGCAGGTTTAGGGTGAAGGGGGGCAGCTTCCAGGCAGACAGAGCCCCACCGAGAGCAGTCCTGGGCCCTCAAGCCTCTTCCTTCTGGGTTTCACCACAGGTGTTTGGCTTCTTCAAGGGCATGTCCTTCCCCCTGGCCAGCATCGCCGTCTACAATTCTGTAGTGTTTGGGGTCTTCAGCAACACACAGCGGTTCCTCAGCCAGCACCACTGCAGGGAGCCCGAGGCCAGCCCTCCTCGCACGCTGTCGGACCTGCTCCTGGCCAGCATGGTGGCTGGTGTGGTCTCTGTCGGGCTGGGTGGGCCTGTGGACCTCATCAAGATCCGGCTGCAGATGCAGACACAGCCATTTCGGGAAGGTAAGAGGTCAAAGGAAGGGATCTTGGGGTCTAGGGACCTGTGATCCTTTCCTGGGTTGCCAGATCTGGAATGTGGTCATTAACATACTTGTTATTGAGCCAGGCATCCATGCTATCATGTAATAGTCTGCAATGACAGGCCTACCTTGGAGAAAGTATGGGCTCAGTTCCAGACCATAGCAATAAAGCAAATATTGCAATAAGAGAGAGTTACATGAATTTTTGTTTCCCAGTGCATTTGAAGTTATATTTATATCATACTGTAGTCTAAGTATACAATAGCATTATGTCTAAAAAATGTACATTCCTTAATTTAAAAATACTTTATTGCTAGCCGGGCTCGGTGGCTCAGCCTGTAATCCCACAACTTTGGGAGGCTGAGGTGAGTGGATTGCCTGAGCCCGCGGGTTTGAGACCCGCCTGGGCAGCGAGACCTCATCTCTACAATAAATCAAAAAATTAGCCGGACGTGGTAGTGCACACCTGTAGTTCCAGCACTTAAAAGGCTGAGGCGGAAGGATCGCCGGAGCCCAGCAGGTCGAGGCTACGGTGGCCGGGAGCGGCCACTGCACTCCAGTCTGGGCGACAGAGTGAGACTTCAACTCAAAAAAAAAAAAAAACCTTAGTGCTAAAAAAACTTTATTGCTAATGATCACCTGAGCCTTTAACAAGTCACAATCTTTTTGCTGGTGATGGGTCTTGCTTGATTTTGATGGCTACTAACTGATCAGGGAGGTGGTGGTTGGGGGTGGAGGCAGTTATGGAAATTTCTGAAAATGAGACAACACTGAAGTTTGCCACATCAATGGACCCTTCCTTTTACGAAATATTTCTCTGCACCATGCAATGCTGTTTGGTAGCATTTAACCCAAAGTAGAATTTCTTTCTGAACTTTAATCAGTCCTCTCAAAGCCTATCAATTAAGTTTATGGAATATTTTAAATCCTTTCTTGTCCTTTTAACAATGTTCATATTATCTTCACTAGGAGTGAATTCCATTTTAAGAACCATCTTTTTTGCTCATCCATAAGAGGTAACTTTTCATGCATTTAAGTTTTATCATGAGATTGCAGCAATTCAGTCACATCTTCCAGCTGCACTTCTAATTTTAGTTCTCTTGAAATGTTCACCACATCTGCAGTTACTTCTTCCAGTGTGAAGCCTTGAACTCCTCAAAGTCATCCATGAGGATCATAATCAACTTATTTCAGACTCCTGTTAATGGTATTTTGACCTTCTCCCATGCATCCTGAATGTGCTTAATGGCATTTAGAATGATGATTCTTTTTCAGGAGGTTTTTTATTTACTTTGCCAAGATCCATCAGAGGAATCACTGTCTTTGGCAAGTTATAGTCTTGTGAAATGGATTTCCATCAAAGCTATTAGGTAACAAGGTACATTGTCCATTAGCAGTGATATTTTGAAAGGTGTGCTGTTATCCAGGCTTTGTTGTTTCATTTCTAGAAAAGAGGCAGAGTGGATTTAGCATCACTCTTAAGGGCTCTAGGATTTTCAGTATGGTTAATAAGCATTGGTTTCAATTTAAAGTTACCAGCTACATTAGCCCACAAGAGGTAGCCTGTCCTCTGAAACCAAGCACTGACTTCTCCTCTCTAGCTTTGAAAGTTCTAGATGGCTTCTTCCAATAGAAGGCTGTTTTCTCTGTATTAAAATTTTCTTTTTACTGTAACCATCTTCATCAATTCTCTTGGCTAGATCTTCTAGATAAGTTGCTGCAATTTCTCCATCACTTGCTGCTTCAACTACCTCATTGAAGTTATGGATAGGGTTTCCTTAAACCTCATGAAGTAACCTCTACTCGTTTTACATTTTAATTCTGCACCTTCCTTGCCTCCCTCAGCCTTCACAGAATTAAAGAGAGTCAGGACCTTGCTCTAGATTAGGCTTTGACTTAAGGGAATGTTATGGCTGGTTTGCTCTTCTGCTCAGACAACTCAAACTTTCTCCATTCCAGCAATAAGGCTGTTTCACTTGATCATTCATTCATGTGTTCCCTGGAGTGGCACATTTAGTTTCCTTCAAAAACTTTTACTTTGCATTCACAACTTGACTGACTGTTTGGTCCCAAAGGCCTAGTTTCAACTTACCTCAGCTTTCAACATACCTTCCTCGTTAGGCTTAAGTATGTCTAGCTTTTGATTTAGAGTCAGAGACATTCGACTCCTCCTTTCACTTAAACACTTAGAGGTCATTGTAGGGCTATTCACTGGCCTATTTCCATATTGTGTGTATCAGGGAACAGGGAGGCCCAAGGAGAGGGAGAGAGACAGGGTAGCGGCCAGTCGGTGGAGCAGTTAGAACACATACCACATTTATTAAATTCACCATCTTATATGGGCACGTTTTGTGTGGTCCCAAAACAATTACAATAGTAGCATCAAAGATTACTGATCACAGATCACCATAAGGAATATAATACTAACAATGAAAATACTGGAAATATTGTGACAATTACCAAAATATGATACCAAGACACAGGCTGAACACATGCTGTTGGGAAAATGGCACCAATAGACTCTCTATGCAGAGTTGCCACAAACCTTCAATTTGTAAAAAGTGTAGTATCTGTGAAGCACAATGAAATGGAGCACAGTAAAAGCAAGGTATGCCTTTATTACCATTTGAGCTGAAGTGGTGCTAAGGTCTCTGTATATGTTCTCTTAATTCTTCTTCATGACAACTCTGTGAAGCAGATGATGTTATAATCCCCACTTTTCAGATGAGAAAATGGAGGCTCCTCGAGGTTAAGACATTTACTCCAGAACACAGAATTACTGACTGGCCAGTGAGGACCAGCTCCATAATTTGCGGTACCGAGTGCAAAATGAAAATGCAGGGGCCCCTTATTAAAAAATTATGACAACTGTGACAATGACAACCTCAAAACGTTAAGCCAAGCATGGGGCCTGTGCGGCTGCACAAGTCTGAACCCCAACAAAGCTGGCCCCAGCCAGGTTGGAACTCATACTCACATCTATCTTACCCCAAAGCCCAGGGTTCTGATCTCACCAGGCCCACACTCCAGGAAGTACAGTGGGTGAGGTATGGCTCCTGGCCGCTCCTCTCCTGCCCTCACCTGCCTTTTCCTGTCCCTTGGCCCTTGACCCCTGTGAGAGCTTCGCTCCTTGGTGTGCAGTGATGTCACTCCACATCACAAGCTACATCTCTTACTCCTCCTCACTGGGAAACATTCTTTGTGTCTTTCCTGGTAGTGACTTTGCTAAAGGATGATAGAAAGAGCAGGAAGGCTCTTGCTGTGCAGAGCAAAGTGCCAGCTCTAGAGAAAGGCTGGGCAGATGTGGTAGAAGGAATATTTTGAGGTACCTTGGTTCTCTCTCTATTTTTTATTTCACTGTCTCCTCAGCCAAGATACTTCCTGAGCCTCAGGCTCCTTTTCTGTATAATGGAAGGGCTGGTTCTGTGGTCCCTTCCTGTCACATCAGACATCTGATCGGGTCTGCTAGTCTCCGGGTTGATTGTTGGCCACTGTGGAGAAGACCCCTCTCCCTAGCAGCTCTCTGTGTGGCCTCCATTTAACCCCTCTGCCCATAGGGGTGGTTCTGGAGCCCTAGAAGCTCACTCTGGAGCATCCCAGCCCAGCGCCACCTCCCTTGAGCCCAGGAAGCATCCAGGACAGGGTCTGCACATCCTCCAAGCATGGCACTGATGGAAGGCCTGAGGCCCAGCTGTAATGAGGATGTGTGTCACACACCCAGAGGCCCACTGTCACAGCAGCATGAGGGGAGATGACAAATGGGCCATCAGCAAGATGTAGGGCAGGTAGATCCTCCCCTGCCATATCTTGGTACAATTTAATTTCATCAGGGAAATGTTTGAAGTGTGCTGACCTATCCCATCCCAAAGGCACAAGTAGAGATGTAGAGGAATGAAGAGCATCATGAGCAGGTGTCCAGGCCCTCTTGCTGGCTGTTTGCTCTATCCTGACCACTTTTGGAAAGCATGCCTTGGTCTCGGGTGCAGAGGAGATTTCCACATAAGTCTTAAAAGTCTTTGGGGGGCAGATGTTGGTAGAGACATTGGGTACAGAGTGATGAGACTCCTCAGGTGCTGGGAGCAGCCCTGCCTCCTTCTTTACATGGTTTCTTGTCTGGGGAAGGAAATCGGGATAGGTGTGCAAGTCTATGTCGGGGCCCTTAGCAGTCGTGGACACCAAGGGGTCTGTCCAGAAGGCCTGGGACATTTGGAGACAAATTAATGGGTACACTTTCTTGATAGCGTTCAGTTCTATCCTGCCCTCCTCCACCCCACCTTGCCCTGTCGAGCATCCCAGAATGGTGTCAGGCCGGAGCCTGAGTGAAAGGGGCTCCTGAGTCCAGGCTAGAAGCACCAGGAGACTGGAGGAAGGGTGAGAGGCAGCCAAGGGTGTGGCTGGACCCTCGTTTGCCCCAAAGCAGGATGCACGGCTCCTGACCAACTTGAGGGAGATGAGCAGCCTCCTTTAGCAACCATCAGTGTTGGTAAGTGCTCATGGTGAGCCAGACACCGTGTGAAGTGCTATGCACCCATCACCTTATCTAATACCCACCACGACAGCTCGAGGGAGGCGTGATTGTTATCTCTGTTCATTTATCTAACAAAAGACAATCATATACCTACTCTGTGTAAGGCACACAGAGGGGTACGTACTGGGGACAAGGGGTGAAAAAAAGATTGTGTCCTGTCCCTCTTTTAGTGCTGCATCTAGCTGGGAGCCAGAGAGGAGTTGGGTCACTACAAACCATGGGGGATAGAATGAACTCTTAGCCTGGCTGGGTTCAGGGAGGACTTGGAAGCAGGGAGGGAGGAGGGCCTGAAGGTCAGGACTGTGCACCTGCCCAGGTAGTGCCAGGGGTCATCCAGGCCTGCCTCATCTGAGTATGGGAGCCCAGAGCGTGGCCCACCTGGGCTGGGGCCCCTCAGATGTTCCAGCTGGGAAGTCTAGATTTTTGCAGGGTCCTGTGTCCTGTATAAGCCCTCT